GATCTTGATGTTCCTATTGTAAGGAAAAAAAATCCTTTATTTGAATGCTGTTCTTTTAGACATGCCATCTTGTTGTATTTTCTGAATTTATTTTCTCGCAGCTAATGTTAGGTGATATTGTAATCTCAGTTGAGACAGCTGCAAGGCAGGCTGAGGAGCGAGGTCATACACTTCTTGATGAAGTGCGGATACTAGCGGTATGCTCACTTGCTTATTGACTGTCATTAGCCCCCTACCGTTTAGAGGTTTGAATACACATGTTATCTTTTTCTTGGTGAATATCCAACTTCCTTTTACCAAATCACTTAATCCTATGTTATTCTACACATACTAAAACACAGATAATATGGTACAAAATTGACTGTTTACTTACTCTGTATTAGGTTCGTGGAATTCTACGTCTTCTGGGTTTTGATCACCAAACAAGTCATGAGTCTGCAGTTGAAATGGAGAAGGAGGAGCAGCTCATTTTGAAGAGTCTAAGGTGGAAAGGGAAAAATCTTGCTAAGAGTGTTCTTGATTCGGGCAAGCGTCATACAGAAACATCGGATGGTGTGCTTTTTTGAGATTTCTGTAGTTATAATCCTTTCCATTATTTTGATCTTGAAAAGGTGCTTTCACACACATGATGATAATGTAGCTATTGCTGCCTAAGAATGTTTACAGGGCAAGTGACAAGTGGTCTAAAAAGAGCTGGAAGCCTAAGATTTTATAGACCAAAATTCAAATATATCTTCTGTGATATGGATGGTATATCATTTGCTCTTTGCATATATCACTACTCTAGACATGTGTTTATATTTACCAGTGATATTTTTTAATTTAAAAAGGTACACTGCTCAACAGTAAAAGTCAAGTTACAGCAAGGAATGCAGAAGCTCTGAGGGAAGCAAGGTCAAGGGGAGTAAACATAGTTATTGCCACAGGGAAGGTACTACAAGTTCTTCATTTCTGTAATAACTTAACTGTCCCTTGCCAGCCCAGGCCAGATCTTCTGGATCACCCTGTTTCCACCATTGCTGCATCCTTTTCCAAGCCAAGCCAGATTCAAGTCTCAATTATAAAACTTGCATTACGCTAATCTTGGTAGAATATGTTAATAAAAATCCTCTATGAGGACACTTGATGTTTATTGTTTTCATTTTATGAGCTGAAAGGAAAAAATTACTACAAGTAGACAATCAAGAATACCCTCTGTTCTGCCAGCCTATTTACGTTTGGCCCTGTCATATTTCAGTAACTCAAAATGCTGATAATTGTTTCTCATACATGTTCATTTTGGAAATAGGCACGGCCGGCTGTCATTGATGCTCTCAATATGGTTGACTTGTCTGGAAGAACTGGAATTGTCTCAGAATCATCTCCTGGCATATTTCTTCAGGTTGGTGGAAAGTATTCATGGACAACACAATATTTCAAGAAATAACTTTAGGATACAGTGGTGAAAATGCGGCATCTTTACACTTCCTGGTAGCATATAATCTAATAGGTTGCAAATATGCTAATGGAGATCCTTGTATCATATTTTTGACTGAAGAGTGCATGCCACTTGCATTGTGACCTTTATGGCACCGTACTTAAATCTGTGTAAAATGAACAAAATTATTGAATGTTTTTTCTTTTACTCTTAATTTACGCCCTTTTTTCTTGAATTGAGTTAAAGCGTGAAATTTGGTTAAGTGACAGGGCAATCATTCTTACCCCCCTGCATTTTAATATCTGTTGAATGCATGTTGCTTGCAATACATCCTTTTGGTGCCCTAAATAAACTTTTGATGAAATGAAATATAGTTGAAGGTTTATTTCCTTTTGCATTTTAATTCTTTGCCTTTTTCTTGTATTTGTTGAGTGAAGTGCAAATGTTAGTCATGAGATAAGTCAATTATTCTTACCTCCCTGGTTTCAAAAGCTGGCTATACTGTGTTCATAGAACAGAAAGGCCGCTGCTGATGTTGCCTGTGCAGCCTTGCTAATTCGAAGCTTACATTCTACATTTTATGGAAAAGAACAAAAAAAAGCATGACAGCATCCTTTGATCAGGCCCTAGTGGTCTGTGCTTCTGCTCAGTCCTATAATGTGCTACCCTAAGTCAATGTTACCTTGTATTCAGTATATTAATATGCGCTATGCCTTTATTTTCCGAGCTCAGTCAATATTACCTTGTAACATCCTTTGATCAGGCCCTGGTGGTCTGTGCTTCTGCTCAGTCCTATAATGTGCTACCCTAAGTCAATGTTACCTTGTATTCTGTAATATTAATATGTGCTATGCCTTTATTTTCCGAGCTCACTGTTTCAAGACTACCGCGTTGTTCCTATCCAGTAGATAAGTGAAACAGTTTATTGTTCATGTGTGCATGATTCCCATTCTCATCAGATTGATGCTTTCATCTGTAGGGCCTCTTGGTTTATGGTTTGCAAGGAAGAGAAATTTATAAAAGGAATTTAGATCAAGAAGTATGCAGAGAGGTAAGCTACATTTTTCTTCCTTATAGGCATTGAGACCATAAATGTGCATACAAGAATAATTTAGATCCAAAAGGCTACACTTTCAGGGTTTGCCTACTTAATGATATATCACCTGGGATGTATCTCTCCAGCTAATGGACTAATTTAGATGCCCTCTTATGTCCATTTAATATATAGATGTTAGCTGGACAATGTAGAGTCTATCTTTCTACTCCATCCGTTCCAACATATAAGAATTTCTGCGTGTTTTCCAAAATGAATCTGGTGGGAGGGATGCCCGGATACATTTTGAAAAACTCGCAGAAATGCTTATATTTTGGAATGGAGGTAGTAATAGATAATTTTATTATCTTAGTATCCATCATTACCAATTTAAGTTAGCGCTTGCACTGTGTAGTGACACTATTGGCTTATTGCAGGCATTGTTATATTCTTTGGAGCAGAAGGTACCATTAGTAGCATTTAGCCAGGACCGATGCTTCTCTATGTATGATGATCCTTTGGTTGATTCTCTCCATTATGTGTATCATGAACCTAAGGTGTTTGCTGGTCCTTGGTCAAGTAAATTTTAGCTGTCATATTCCTATTAATTTGACTGTAGTTGTGACTCTTGTTGCAGGCTGAAATAGTCTCGTCTATTGATCAGCTTTTAGGAACAGCTGAGATACAGGTTCTGTGCTCTCTTAACAATTTTTAGAACACTTTCATGATTAGTTCAGCATGAATCATTTTAATGTTCCTTTGCTTAAATACTAAGAGCATCCGTCTAGATGACATTCTGGTTGGTGATTCATTTTCTCAAAATTTGTTCCAAGTGGTTGGTTCATAAAATAAGAAACTACTGGTTTAGTTACTATAAAAATACGGGCTTTCTTTTGGACAGGGTGGGGGAGGGGGTGTCCTAGTCCTACCATGTATTTTACTTAACCATAAAATAAATTAGGTTAATATATCTTATACAATTGGAACCCTTTAAATGCAGTTATTACTCTTCTCATAAAACCACATCGTCTCGATTGTTTCTAGCCTTTGGATGATTGATCTAAGGTGCAGACTACACAGAGCAATAAAGCGAGTCTTCTAGCTACAAACTATAAATCCACCTTGCATCTCATGTCTATCGTTTCGTCATGCACGTTTCTGGCAGCAATGTTGTATATTACAATCTCAACCATTTGGATAATCAAAGATTAATGTTCATTGAAGCAACTTGAAGGCAAAAAGATCTGCTTCGCTTAATTACTCAATAGATGTGCAAGGCTTATAGAAATGCGCAAACAGCCACTATATGAACCACTTCCAATTGAATAACAAATTGTGATTTGTGCTGCTGTCAACGGCTTCCGTGATCGAATGCCACTAGTCAATTTCTCAATATGAAATTCGTAATAGAAACCAATTTATGCAACAAACAAGTTGCTCATTTTGACTGTGGCTGACATTTTCATATATGGGGATTACTCTATTAGCAATTTGACGATGCTAAGATGTGTAGCTGTCTAGCTGACTGCATTATAATTTTCATGTTCAGAAAGTGCTCTTCCTTGAAACTCCTGAGGGAATTTCTTCTGCATTGAGGCCATTCTGGGAAAAGGCAATAGAAGGAAGGGCCCGTGTGGTTCAAGCACAGCCTGATATGCTTGAACTTGTACCTCCTGCAACTTCAAAAGGCAATGGGGTGAAGATTCTTTTGGACCACCTTTGCATTAGTCCGGATGAGGTATTAGTACTTTAGTTCTCTATTACATCTTATTGCATGACGGAATACAATTGATGTCATCACCTATCTAGTTCTTTCAATTATGAAAAACCGTCATTTAAATCTTGGTCATACATATGCCACAAAATAAAATATTTGAAGTCTGCACTGAGTTTTCCAAACCAATTGCCCAGTGATCTAGCGGTATAAGTAGATTTAAAATGGATATTAGACCTCTGATCTTCCATCAAACCATTGAAAGCCCACCTGCAATCCTTCTAACTTCAACTTTATTTTTTTCTTTTGCAAGGTAATGGCTATCGGGGATGGAGAAAATGACATAGAAATGCTACAGCTAGCATCATTGGGTGTTGCGCTTGCAAATGGGTCTGAGAAAACCAAAGCAGTGGCAAATATAATTGGTGCCACTAATGATGAAGATGGAGTCGCACAGGCTATTTACGACTATGCTTTCTAACAGCTGCTAACTCTAAGGCGTATTGGGATAGGATTATCTACTCTTTGGTTCTCCCCAGTGCCCTGGATTCACCATATAACAAGACTTGATCACCATCTATCCACAAGATAATACTGGGATGTGATCTGAAGCCCTGTTGGAGTCAAAACATTTTGAACTATTAGGCTTCGGTTCATTTTTTGGTTTGGCAAACATTCATGACCAGCCATGCTACAATTTGTGTGTCTGGAATATTTATAGAATTGAATTCCTTTTGTTTTCATCTTTGATGACCAAAGGACTCCCTTAACGTTAAGCTGTTCTTCTTCTTCTTTTAACCAAGGCAATTGGATGTACTGCAGACATATGCTTTAAATTTCGACAGAAGGCTGTTCATCATCCCCAGGCAGTCCAATGAAAAATTTCATTGTAGTATTTACAAACAGAATCGATGTCTCCTTGAACAAGACGACTCTCTGTATATGGCAGAGAACGAAATCCTCTTACATCCGTGACAGGCTAATATGCTTGTCAACAAAATCCTCAACGAAAAAAGAACAGAGATGAAACCCTGACCCCCCAAAAAAAAAACATTTCGATACTGTTCCTACTGATGATATCCGCTTTTGTTTACAGGAATTGGGGGAGGCCTATAGAGCATGCTTTTGGTGTTATTCCTGGCCATCAGATTTGCGCAAGAACTTCCAGACTTCTTGGCTATTGATGTGCTGTTTGCGCCAGGTATATGACAAGCTTCCTGGTTCCCATCCAGTGCTACATAGCTCTTGGATGATTTGATCTTCTTGTATGGATTCTCCTTCTTGCGTAGATCCTCTAGGCATCTCACCTCAGACATACATGCAAAAGATTGAGACTTTCCGTCGTAGTATTTGGATAATCCTTTCCTGCAAAGAACAACAAAGCACTTGCCCTGTGAGAAAATTTTCCTTTTGCTAGTACATCTATTGATACTAATATGCAACTCTTCTTCCCCAGGAACTTACTTGACAGGGAGTTGTGCCTTCATAGATGACAGATCGTAGAGGCTATCTGAATTCATCCTTCTCGCTGGCTGCTGCGCAAACTGGTCTTCTTGAGCTTCAGCTTCCTCGCTGTCTGAAAATTGAGCCTCATCATCGGAGTCGCCTGAGATGGACGATGATGTCTCGAACAAGTCTTCATCTTCTTCTTCACGGTATACTGGAAGGACCGCAGCTCCACCGAATTTGCCCATGCTCGCAGTTTTTCTGGCTTCTGGAACAAAGACACCGAAAGAACAGGTACGCTTTGTGTATAGAACTATGGATATATTCTTCTTCCTCTCTTGCTTCCTCTCTTTCACAATCTTTACAACGTCCGGTGGGGAGGGTGGGTGTATATATAGCTCCAGCTGAAATGGGATAACGCTAAGCTGCCTTCTTTCAAACACTGCACAGTGCCCTTTGACTAATATAATCTTACGCAATTTGCATCCATGACATCACCTATTTGTTGTGTTTACATGGACTAGTTAGGTCTTTTCCAGAACACTGACATGGACCCATGAGCATGGCTGCTTGTGTGCCTTTGTCCCAGTTTTTGCCGAAATAAAAGAAAGTAATGAAAAAAGAGCGTGAAAGTTGGTTGGCCACTTCCACATGCTTTCCCGGATTCTGCTGCTGGTACCCCTGATCTGATCTTATCTTCTTAGTTTGTTGAATGGGACCCAGATTTGTTCTTATATCCCTTTGGCAAGTTGGTTTTCTGAGACTGACTTGTAGGCCATGGCATGTTATGGTGAGGATGATGCCTCATCATGTTAATTCTTTTTTGTGGGGAGCTGAGCGAGGACACGAGGCGCGCTACTGTTGGCTTATGATTCTCGTTGCAGGCTGAGTCGGTGGCCGAGGTAGAACGCAACTAGATCTTTCAGGATAAACCTTTTCATTACTTAACCCGGAGTATTTTGGGGAAATCACGCTAATAGTAGAACTTTGGTGCCTTCAATTTTTTACTATAACAACCTGTTGTTTTTCTACTTTCTGAACAGTTCGAAATGGTGAGATTTCTAAGTAGTATTAATTCCGTTACGTCGACGAGGGAATTACGGCTCTTTTAGTCCTTGATAACTGCCAGAAAATACTCTTGTGCCTCCTAATTCGGGACAAATTTCAGCATACGAACAGTGTGAGTGGAGCACTAGCTGCACAAGGGGTCCTGTAAGTTAACTGTTAATTTACGTAATCTCGAACAGTCTTAGCTTTCAAAACAGAGACCTTTTTCCTCATTTCCTTCAGGATCACTGCTCACTGGTTCCCCACATACTCATGTTTCTCGTTTCAGCAATGGGTAAATTGAGATTCCATGGACCCCCAATCAGAGTTCGGTGAGTAACACGTGTATGGTTTTCCGCATGACAACTGTGATTGCACTTCGCTGTGTTACTTAGCCTCCATTACACGCAATTTTGCGAGAGAAAACGAGAGGCAACTAACATACGTCCAGCGCTCGAAATAAAGTTGTATTGCATCGCATCATTGGTAACAGTGCTAATGCCTGTCCATTAGAACTCACTAGATGCTGCTCAACTTGAGCTGTGTTTAGTTCAGTGTAAAGTTTAGATTTTGGTTGAAATTGGAGATGATGTGACTGAAAAATTATGTGTATATAACAGGTTGATGTGATGGAAAATGACTGAAATTTAGATCTAAACTTTGGATCCAAACTTTAGATCTAAACACAGCCTTAGAGAAGCCGATACACGTTCCTGCGGTAGGATACTGTCGATCTTAGCCACATTGTCATGTATCTGGGGTTTCTTTAAGACTTGAGAACTTAATCAAGTATTTTGATGTAGATAGTATAATCTACAAACGCATATATAATTCGACACGACTAGGACCTAACCCAACGCGACGTGGTGAGCTGTTCAAAACCGGACACCTGTCGCGCGATCCGTGTACGCGCCAAGGTGCATGTTCGGTGGGCGAAACCAACAACAGCACCTCGCACGTCTGCCATTAACACGAACTCCTGATAATAATCTAAAAAATGCTTTTATAAACCGACGAGACAGAATGCCCTGGGTACACATGGCACGGACAGCATTTCCGGGGACATGGCCACAGGTTTGATTAGTGGACCAACAAAACCGGCGACATGCTAATCTCTTACTCGTCATCTCGTGTCCGCGTGTTGCTCTGCACGAAGGCTGTCTGTCCACGTTCTAGAGATGCAAATTGTGTTGCAGATCAAAGCCCAGAAATGCGCTCCTGCTGTCTTTGCACTTTTGATCGCTTTTTTCATTTTGTTCTCGAGCCAATTGCATGTCCTAATCCGTGCCATTAACCTCAGATTTGTAGTCAAGGGATGGCTGCTTAGAATCTGTACTATGGATATTGATGCCCCCTTATCCTTAATCCTCCTTATCCAGGCGTGGACTGCTTCAAGCTTCGCGTGGTGGGCAAGATGAAAATATCATCCCAAGTAGTGTTCCATGACGTCTCACTCCCGTAGCGAATTTTTGACTTGTTTACATAGGGTGAGTTTGAGGAGGAGGAGATTGAGAAGATTAGGAAGATATGCAAAATGAGATGAACCATTAGCGCATGATTAATTGAGTATTAACTATTTTAAATTTTAAAAAATAAATTAATATGATTTTTTAAAGTAACTTTCCTATAGAAAATTTTTATAAAAAATATACCGTTTAGTAGTTTGGGAAGCGTGCGCGTGAAAATCGAAACAAACTCACTCACTTTCTTCCGCTGCCGAACGCAGCCATATTGTGCTCGTGGTTGGGGAACGGAGCTTCTCTTCCGGAAACATTCAAACACGAGCTTGCTACAAGTATTATTGAGCTCGACGTACACGTACGAGCCTTCCTCCCGGCTGCATCTATCTCCTGTCAGGTCTGAATTTTTCCTCATCTAGCTAACCTTTTTGTTGCGACTTAAGACTATTCCCAGGTAGAAATAGGATTTTTCCTCTAGAACCTTTTCGTGCGTTCAAAACGCGTCGACCCTGGATAGAGCGCAAGCCAACCAACCGCGCTCTGACCGGCTTGGCTCGCGCGCGCGGAAGATTATCATTGGATTTGGAACAACACATGTTTATTCCGCTCACTAAACATGACCGGTGGCCTGGGCGAGAGCCATCCATCATCGATCACCCAAAAGACGCGTTTGGCTCGTAGTCGTCTTATAATCCCAAGCGATAAGGGTTCGCGGATCGTGCCGGGATCCGGCGAAAGCGACCGAGCGCAGTAGCATCGCGCGGCGCGCTGAAATCATGTGGCACGAGGCCGGAGGGAGCCTGCGATTTTTGCGTGGACCACGGCTGTACTACCTGTCCAGGCCGCGCGCCAGCCGCCGGGAACGTGGTCTGCGCGCGCTCGGACGAAACGCGCGCATGTGGATAGCTCGCGGGGATGGGATCGGCTCGGCGCCGCGTCGCTGTTCGCCCGATTTTTATTTTCGATCTCTTCGGCGGATCTCTCGCCTGTTCCGTGCGAATCCGGACGGGCGGGCTGAACCGCCTGTGCACAAGCCAGGCTTGCAAATTGCAAACCCCGAGACGCGTCCGCGTCTCCGCCTCTCACGCGCGCACGTCCGGACGCGCCGCGCGGAACCTGACGATTTTTTTTTTGTTTCCTTTTCCGTATCCGAGGGGCGAGGGCGGCCAAGCCAAGCCGGCGGCCGCGCGCGCGCGCAGGCGACGGCGTCTCCACTCGTCGTGGGCGGTCGACTCGCCTACTATAATCGGTGAGCGATCCATCCAGCACAGGAAAAGCCGGAAACCCGGGTCGTCTCTCCTACAGCGCGCGTGGAGAGATGTACCGCGGCTCGTGTAGGGCTCGTGCTTGGTCGGAGTCTGCATGCGGGATGTTCCTCTTGGGTTGGGTGCCGTGGCCGTCATGGGAGCGGACTCCGGTGCTCCACTGTAGTGGATGGGCGAACCGGAATAACCAAAAAGACGAGAAGGACGTGAAGGCTTTGATGGGCGCGAGCCCAGTAAGAGCAACGTCAATAGCCAACTATTGACTCAAAACATCTAAAGCCAATCTAATAACTCATTCATACAATAATTAATTATAAAAATATGCTACACCATTAATATCTGGTCTCACCTCTCATACACACGTAACATCTTGGAGTCCGTGTTGCAGCTGGCTACAAATCTGTAGCCCGCTTTCTTCTCTCTTCTCTTTTCTTCTCGATATATGGTTATAGCCGGCTTATAGCCTGCTATTGTACATGCTCTAACAGTGGATGCCTTAGGGCACCCACAATGGTTATCTATAAGCTCTCTACAACAGATCCATGTCAGCATATTTTCCTACTTAGAAGAGATTAAATGAAGAGATAGAGCAAAGCTATCTACTAACATGGAAATAGTTTATAGAGAAAAACAAGGCAATGGATTAGAGAGCTATAGATACCCATGTAGACATACCATTGAAGTGGTTTATTATTAATTTAGTCTATTGCTGAGATGTACATATTTTATAGATAGCACATTACTTTACCATTGCGGGTGCTCTTATGTATTCCGTTGAGACATTGCAACGGATTCATTCATGCCGCGTGCGAATCCTGCACACTGTATAACTGCATGCGAATCATGTGTGCTAGGCATGTAACATACTCCGTATTTCTTTGTTTCAGATAGTTGCGTACAGGGTTCGCTAAACCGTTCAAGATGAGCTTATCATATCACACGGTTTAACGGATATTACGGTAAACACGGTTACCACAAAACCGTACGGTTATTACGAGATATACAGTGGTTTAAAAAACTTTAAACGTTATTACACGTGATAATCGCACAATTTTATAAACCCTACCATCCCTAGGGAAAAAGTACATTTGATAAAACAACCTAGAGTAAGTGATATACCAGATGTGGCTATCACCTTCAATTTTATCCATATCATTCAAACAAAAAATAAGAGGCAACATATACAATATGTCACCTCTAATACACAAATACCAATATCTCTAATACTCTCATAATTTTTTTAAATTTGTGTGGAGGTTGACTCTTGATTTAGGCTCAAAGTAGGTTTATAGTAGACTATAAGTCAACTGTAAACTTACGTGGAGGAGAAAGAATTTTTAAAAAATAAAGAGGATTGTCTCCAATGCAATAGCTAGTTATTCACATATTTCAAATATATTAAAGGCATAGGGAGAGATAAAGAGAGAGAAGAAAAATAGAGATAAAATTATAGCTTTTTCTACTATAATATGAGCTCATAGTTGGCTTTAGTATTGAACTTGCTCTCATCATCTCTCTCCCCACTTCTCTCCTCCAACTCATCGCTCAATTATATGTGATATTTTTAGGGGCAATACATGAATCATTATAACACTTGCTCTTAGAGCA